ATACAAATTTTCACTGATCAGAATCAGATTTCCCGATGGCGTCTACTTACAAGTAAGTTCAAATAACTGAAGAAAGGTTTCAATAGATACAAAAAACAAAAATTTATTTTAAACCCCCTTTTTACAAAATCACTGAAATAGCACTCAAATGGTAAAAACTTACATAATTGAACTTCCAGGGCACCTTCTCCATTTATGAAAAGCTTGGCGATGTCTTCGATTTCGTCCGAGAGAACTTGGAATTCGACGGTTTGCCATTTCTTCTAAATCTACCAACGGGCCAAAAGTTTGCGGAAAAAGACCTGGATGTCACGCTGGTTGATCTTCGGCTGGTTCCTGCCACCATTCTGATTTTCCAATGGGATCCAAAATTTGAGGAAGAAATAAAAGCATCTGGTAATGTCACTTATCTTAAACCAGAAGTTGTTCTGCTAATGCAGCAGCTGTAAAAGCTGATAGCGAAAAATATTAATTTCTAACTAACCTAAACGAATTTGATAAGCCCATATTTTGCGAAGAATAATTGGTTTGGTTGGAAGATTTATGTTCGAATGCGCGCAAAAAATGTTCAGTTAATCTCTTATGCAAGTGTGATACAATGGGCGACTAAAACTAGTTATTTAACGCAATTTAGATGAGCGGAGGCAGCGATGTGTACATTTATTGTTTAATGTTTTGAGAGAGCGTTTCTGTATTAATTATGTTTGTCGCTGCTACATTATTGGACTACACATTCTATAAATATGTTATGCAAAATAAATATTGATTTACTCAGAAACAATTTTTTTATTAATGCTCGCTCTTTAGAAGTGAAATGTTGCCAATACTTGAATTATTTAAAGCACTAAATGGTTTTTTATAACGCAAGTTACTGTCCAATCGAAGCACAGATTTGGAAGTTTATTTATTCAGTCTTCATTTATTGGAACCCTATACCATAAACAGTATTTTAACCAGAAAATAACTGCAGTTTACCATATAAAAGCTCCGTTTCAGATGATGGAAGGTTTAATCAGGTTTAATTTAGAAAATAACAATTTTTGCTAACGGAAGGATATTTTGAATCGAAACTTCCAGAGATCAACTAAAGTAAAACCGCATGTTATGCAATAAAAACGTTGTTTATTTCGGCCGGTCTCGTACTGCACCAACTTTTTTATCTTGGAAATGGATAAGGAATTGTACAGGATTCCACGCAGTCCAAGGAATAAACTTGCTTAAAATTCAAGGAAGTTTCGTTCAGAAACACACTTGGATGAAGCTGAGTTCACTTGAACCAAGCAATTTTCTGAACGAAAATACCTTGGGTTTTAAGTGATTGATTCCTCACTTACTTAGGCCACTGATGGTTAATATAGTGATATTTTTAATTACATAAAACCTAGCCAACTCCTAAAAATGAGTCAAATATTCACAGCCATAAAACAAATCCTATTATCATCACACAGGTGAACGACAGAAGCAAGAGCTAATTAAAAACTCACTTATTATCACACATTCTGTGCACCAATAAATAATTGTTCTCAACTCACCAATCAAATTGATCACACTTTGCAAGGAACTGAAGAAAACACTGATATTTCATGGAACTTTTTGTATTTGCACATCACTACATAATTTTAGCATAATGGGCTAAGAAACTAACACCAGAATAAACAAGTACATGACCAAACTTAGCACAGGATCAAACTTAGCACTATGATCACACGACTGCGTGTCAGTTTAGTTTGCACGTACAGGAAGTCTAATTTTTAATACACCAGTACACTAACTAAAGAACAGTTCTTTCACATTCCTTGCAAAGAAAAAACGGAAATAAAAAGTATATGAGTTCCAACGAGTTTGTTTCACTACTCGATTCAAAATAATACAAAACCAATGAGAAAGAACTGCAAGCCACTTTGCATTTTCACATCACCGCGCTTTACAATGTCTGCTTGTCCAATCTTTTTACAACACACTATGAATGTTACACAAAATGGCTAACAACAAATTTACCGCTGATCTCCAATTTCCTGAAATCAAATAAGAGTTATAATAAAGTCGCTTACAAAAATACTTGACCCAAAATCTCATAAGGGATGGGCCTAAAAACAATTACTCAAGTGGCTTCAAACAAATTGAGGTACGCCATAGGCCTTGACGAAAAATAAGTTCTAATATTCCATAACTTAAAGTATTGATTTTTAGACAATGCAATAAAAAAAAGAAATAAGCGATTACGAGTATAAAGAGCCCATGGCTAACAAGAATAAATAAAGCGAAATTCTAATAAAGCAGTCACAGTAACTAAAAAAATTGGTGAGTAGCCGAAAGCAGAAGAAGACAAATGCAACATTTAACTTGGCTGGCGGTCTGTACTTTCAATAAACTGTTCAACAAAAATTAATTGCTTTATCGAAATAGACATTAGGATTGAAAAATCGATTGATCGGCAACAAGCTGATTAATTGCATTTTGATTAGGCAGCAAAGCTACCTCGAAATGTAAAACAATCCACACCACAGCTGACGTTGCATTGTCTACTTCCATGAAAGCAAGGTATGTAACTGAACCCTACACATATAAAGAAATGTGTTGAAATAATAAAAAACAGTGAATAAAAAATTAGGCTGTACCACCACGTACCACTACAATAATTAGATGATCTTCCTTGATGGCTTCATCGGACAAGTTGGGACAAGAGCGTTTTAACAATTCGGTAGAAAAGGGACATGGAGGAAACGAATACAAAACTCCTGTGGCCTCAGTCTCTTTGTTCAATAATGAGATAACCCCAGCTGCTTCTTTTTGCTTAAGATACGAAACTAAGTTCCTCAGCGGCCTTGTTTGCACCGAACTGTCCTCATTTGTCACGGAGGCCGTGGAACCCGCCAGTCCCAAGAAAATAGCATGGGAAGTAGCACTCTGAATCCTCTTTTGCACATCCTCTAGTTTCGGTTGGTCCAGTCTCAGTCGCTGCGTGATTCTCAATTGGTGCTTACCTTCTTCGTCTTTCATTAAGCTATCGACAATATCAGTATCGCCTTCCATTAGATGAAACTTTGCAGGAAACAGAGAGTTCTTTAGTATCAGAGCTCCTTGCCAAATAGTAGTGCATTTTCTTGCAACTTCCGGCAACGTTCTACTAGAGGCGAGCAATCCTGCTCTGCGGGAGCCACTGTCGGAATCAGAGTCTGGAGATCTTCTAGGAGACCTGGACCTGGACCTTCCCGCCCCAGAGCCTGAACGCCTGTACTCTGGATCTCTCGTACGGCCCCATTCATCCACCTCGCCCTCCGGGTAGCGAGCACCTCTCCTTTCCGGATAAGGCAACGGCCTGTCCCTATATCCGTAACCTCTCTCGTAATCGTAGTCTCCATATTCGACTCTTCTGTAGTCGTCCGGAGGCAAATCATGGGGATAGGAGGACTTGGCCTTGTATGGGACGCCCGGTGTAACATCCGCAAAGTCAATCCTTAATCTTCTGTCCGGGCCACCGAGAGGAAATCCGCGCATTTCCTTCACTGCAGCCTGGGCTGCATCGATGCTGTCGTACAGAATATACGCTTGATTATCTCCTTTAACATACTCGATTTTCTTGATTGCTCCGAATCTGTCGAACTCTCTCTCCAGCTGTGGGATGGATGTCCACACTCCTAGACCACCCACCCATATTCGGGTAGTTGGAGTGGCTTTACCGTAGCCAATTTTGCATTGAAATTTACCGATATATTGTCCAGATAGTTCCACTTTCGCCCTGTGGGCCATATCTAAGGTGTGAAAACGCACAAAAGCAAATGCGTTTCCAGTGCCTGGAGGTGGTCTTTTAATGTCGATGTCCTCCACCACACCATACCTGCCAAAAATTCTCCTCAATTCTTCCTCCGTGATGTTTATCTCCAGATTGCCGGCAAATAAAGTGCGTGTTGCTAGAGGATCATCCTCAGGCTGGATATGATGAAGGTAATTGGGGAATTTATCTTTCTTGCTATCGCTTTTATCAAATTGTGGGCGCTGCGAATGCTGCCTCGGAGGACCGTAACCGTGGGCAGCAGCCATATGCGGAGGCCCATGGTGAAGTGGAGGCCTGCCAATATAATCATGGGGCACCGGCAAAACGTCTCTTCTATAGTCCCTGTGTAAGGCTGTTCCGGGCGGTGGTCCATACCCCCTGTCGTATCTTTCGAGCGGAATTCGCCGTTCAGGCGAGCGCGCATAGTGGTACCGATCATACTCTGGCGTGAGTGAGCGAGGCCTACTTCGGTAAGGATCTGCGGCACGTGGCACTTCATACACAGCTTCCACTAAAGCCACCTTATCGTAGATTATAATACGGGGCTTGGCATGTTTTGCATCTCTGGCGTCTTCCGAACTTCGGAAACAAACATACGCTAGTCGTTCATCGACATCATGGGATATTCTAATGGTTAGGTCTCCGTATTTTTTGTACTCCCTATACAGAGTGTCTTTGATAACTTCGTCACTAGCCTTCGGGTGCAGAGCACTAACACACAGAACCTTGTATGGATAGGCTCTTTCTGTCGCCCTCACGTACTCTTCGCGGTGAGGAGACACGTACCTACGCGGACTTGGGGAACGGCCTCTGCTACTACGCCTTCGAATGCGCTCGGGAGTCACTCGTTCATCAGAACTATCGTCGTAGCGCCCCATGCTAGATCGAGATCGTTTGCTCCGTGGCGGAGTATCTCTATCACTACTTCGTTTCATGCTTGGATTTGGTATCCTCACAGTTATGATGTCCTTTGCTTTGTTCATACGCACTCAACACATCTATTAACTGTCCACACAATGGATGACACGGCACTCCTCTTCCTAAAAACACAATGCAAAACACTCGAATTATGCAACGTCCTGCACCAAATATATCAACAAATCAACTATAAAGGAAAACAACATACTTTACACTCTACACAGCACCTGGATACTCGGCTGTAGTCAATTTTCCGTGAAACTTATTCCTGATAACGGACCACCTTAAACAACACAGCACAAAATGGCTGCCAAGCAAACCACGAGCCCAAACTCTTCCGCTTTCTTTTTTCCATCAGTTGACAACCTCAATTTTCTCAACAGCGTTGCCACTTCAAATTGTGCAACCACGTTGAGAAAATTGAACGATAATTATAAAATAGCATTAAAAGCCAAATTATTTTAAGTGTGTAAGTAGATAGCGAATAATAAAATATATCTATGAATCAGATTTGAGATCTGGCTTCAAATCAACAACAACAACAACAATAATTTTTTACAAACTTCTTTTTGGGTATTTCGCCTCAAAAATTTAAAAACTTTTTTTCTCTTTAAAAAAAATTAAATCCCCTATTAAATAACGCAACTTCCTATATTAAAAATTCTGAACATTTTTTTCAAAAATTATCAGGCATAGACATAAATCCAAACCACCAGAAATAGTAAGTTTGATGTTGAAATGTGCGAAAACTTAAGATATCATCAAACAAAAATTACAAAATGACACCAATCTTAAAGAACGCACACAACTAAGCATTAACACTATTATTGAAATTTTAACAATATTTGTAAAGTCAACTTACTTTCAATACAATGACAATTTTTATCAACAAAATTTTGGAATGACTATGGGGTCACCAATATCCCCATTTTTTAGTAATTTATTTATGGAAAATTTTGAATCAACTTTCATTAATAATTACAAATTTAAACCAATGGCGTTATATTGATGACGTTTTCTCCATTTACAGTCATGGCGAACAAAAACTTGATGAATTTTTATCTTATCTGAATAATACAGAACCAACAATTAAATTCACTATTGAAAAAGAACAAAATCACTAAATTTCTTTTCTCGATATACTAATTCAGAAAAATGTAGCCAATTTCAAAACCTTGGTCTATGGAAAACCTACTCATACTAACCGATATTTGAATTTCGCCTCAAATCACCCGATAATGGTTAAAAAAGCTATCGTAAAAAGTCTATATGATAGAGCCAAAATAATTTGTAATCAATCTAATTTTTCCAAAGAAAAACAATTTATAAAAGAAATTCTAAATTTCAATAATTATCCAAATT